CCTGTCCCAAATCGCACCCTCAACCCTCGCGGTCTTCCTCTGAGTCCACACTTATGTGACGTAACGCTGCTTTGACTGTGGGTAAAAGTCTGCTGCGGAGCTCGCCTCAGTGTGAGGTCGGCAGAAGTGTGTATCGAGGGCGCAAAAGGGGCCCTCGTGAGCACACTTCTGAAAGCTAAAATGACTAATGGGACACCCTACGGTCTCGTGGTCTTCTTAACGGACACGTGCACGTGGCGTCCATTGTAAGTCTGCAAGACTGCAAGTGCACATGAACTGTGCCATTTGGCCTGTCTCACATTGCACTCTAAACCCTGGTGGGCCTCCTCTGAGTCCACACATTCGTGACATAATGCCGCTTTGAATGCGGGCTCTGCAGAAGTGCGCATCGAGAGTTCATAGCGGCCGCAAAGGTGGCGCTCGTAAGCACCCTTCTGAAGCTAAAATTACGATTGGGACACACAAACGCGGCGGCCATTGTAAGTCCGCAAGTGCACATCAAGTGTGCCATTTGGGATAGGGCCTGTGACTGCAATGCAATCGCTATAAGTTCCAGGAGGGCTAGCACTAACGTGCTTTTGTCATCATACGTAACCTTAACTTGTGCAGCGATTGGTGGAACAAACATACCTCTATTAATAAGAAATACAAAGTCAGGACTAGTCTGTATGGGTTGAATAAAGCAAACCAGTATCTCACCAGTAAAGCTTAGATAGATGACAACTGTAACGGAGGTAAATACTATTACAGTGACATACTGTACAGCAATCGTACACCATTAGACACACGAGTCTGTTATTAATGTGCGAACAAACAGACCGTGTGTGTGCTTTTCAGTATGGTCTCATGTCTGGCAAGTGTTTTAGAAGGACACTCGCTGGAGAAGTGTGTTTTTATAGGAGTTTGCTGCAGTCATATGGGCATCAACACTCACAGAGGAACCATTCACTGGTCATGTTGAGCCTCCTTCAGATCACCACATTTGACAAATTCAGAATGTTTTTATTTGCTTTTTTTATTTGTGTTTGGCTCTGTTTAATAATTCAGAATGGATCTGTATATATCTATATACAGTCAGGTTAAGGTGACTGGTATTGGTCTATTGGCATCTCCGTGTGCTCCTGTTTGGTATTGCAGCTTGACAATGCTCTTAAAAAAATGTAACATTTATTTTTTCCTCAAAGTTTTTGTTGTTGCACTGTATACATAAAAATTGTGAATTATGAAATTAATATATATAAAAATTCTTCTTCTTCTTATTATTATTATTATTATGTTACGTTCAGTAAAGGAATTAAAAGTCTGTTTACATTACTAAGAGCTTTACCTTAACAAAGTCCACAGTTGAGCGGTAGGCAAATGCAATGCAGTTTGGGTCAGACATGCCTGGGCCTGGAATGATCCACTAGTACTCATATTTCCTGCAGTAACGAGTTTTTACATTCACAAGAATATTATGTGTCACTCGTGTAATGGGTAAATGAATATACGAATGTCCCATTTAAAGTCTGAGTTGTAGCTGGCATAATCTCTAGTTACCTTGGGATATTGACATTTTTAATAATAGTTTGAATTATTATTTTTTAAATTTATGTATAAGACAAACCACATGCACGGTCGCTAAGTATTTTATGTGCCTTTATATTTTAGTCAATTTTCGCTGATATAGCACAGTTATTTGCATTTCAAAATAGTTCATTATTCATTATTCAGCAAGAACACCATTCTGGCTGAAATGGTGGAGAGAAACTGGGGAAGACAACACCTCAACCTGCTGCTCCTGCGCAATGTTATGCTGGTCCTGGAGATGTGGAGTGCAACGTCTGTACTGGAAGAAAACGCAAAGCCGTCAAGTCCTGCTTGATGTGCATGAACTCTTACTGTCACATTCACCTTGAACAGCACGATCATTTCTTCAAAGACAAGAAACACCATTTGATGGAAGCAACTGAACGGCTCCAGCAGATGATCTGTAAGAAACATGACAGACCTCTAGAGGTTTTCTGTCAAACTGACCAGGAGTGTATTTGCATGATGTGTATGCTGGACAAACACAAAAATCATAAGAACAGCTGCTGCAGAGAGGACAGACAACCAGGTATGAATGTTTCATTTTACTTTTTAAAAAAAGGGTATCCAGGAGATATAGTAACTTAAGTAAATATTTCACCACATACATGTATTTTACATTGATTGTAGTTAATAAATAATGTGATTGAAGCCTGAAATGAAAAAGGTTAGGCAAAATAAGCTATGGCTTCAACCTACACATTTTCAGTTAATGTCTGTAATGTCTGTAATTCTGTTTTTGTGTCTGTAGAGTTTCGGGCCTCCCTTCTTGCCTTGTATAAACATACCAAACATCACTGTCAGTTCCCAGCTCTCTTTTGGCAGTATTGTAAAATCTGTCTCTCTGCTGAGAGGGAAACTGGAAGATTTCTGTAAAGAGGAGATAGAACGGATTTCTGCTAGAGGTAAGATACTGGTGGCATGATGTATCCTCTAACTGGTTTTCAATCCTGGTCCTGGGGACCCACTGCTCTGCACATTTTGTGTGTCTCCCTTATTTGACCTGATTCAGATCATCAGCTCATTAGGAGAGAGCTCCATGAACTGAAATGAGTTTGTCAGATGAGAGAGACATACAAAATGTGCAGAGCAGTGGGTCCCCAGGACCAGGATTGAAAACCACTGCTTTAACTTATAGATGTGATAGATAGATAGATAGATAGATAGATAGATAGATAGATAGATAGATAGATAGATAGATAGATAGATAGATAGATAGATAGATAGATAGATAGATACTACTCAACTACTCA